CACTGAGGCTGTCTTCTATATATTGTCCTGTGAACCCCAACTTGGACCACCCAGTTTGAGCAAAGATCTTCGCGGTCAGGAACCCATCGGAATATCCCTTGACGATGGACACCTGGGCAGGGGTGAGATCAGTCGAGTTCCCTTCGCGCGTCTTCAACCCGCCTGACCATGGATTGGAAGCACCAGGTGATGGAGCGCCTGAATAATCCGTGGCATTTACGGCCGGGTCCTGGAGTTTCTCCAAGATGGATGACCCGAGAGGAACCGTCATGTTCGCGACAGCGGAGTACAAGGCCTGGAGTTGGTTGCCATTCGTCGGTGGAGGTCGACCATACGAAAAGAATGTCGCAGGAAGGCTATGTCCCACAGCCGCCTCGAAGCACCAGCCAGGATCATCATCGCAGTTCTCCTTCCTGTATGCTAACAATGGGAACAATAAGCCAATAAGACCGCGAAGTGCACTGTTTCTCACTCACCCCAAAATCCCCATCCAGCGCTGGTATTCGCGTAAACATTCATCTGTCCGGTACAGAAATCTCTGCGAGCCTGCACAGGATCGTTTTGCGTCGAAAGGCTCTTGTCCGTCAACGCACACGACCATTCGTCAACGACCAAGTTCCTGCGTTCTTTGACAGAGGCCGCACTGAGCGTAAAAGCTATGGGTCCATTTACGTCGCCTGTGTGCTGAGAAGCAGGTTCGGAATCATCTGAGGGCGTGAAGACAAAGTAAGAATGATGGTCTTCCACGACGAAATCCGTGCGATTGGTGATGAAATCGCTGAAGCGCTCGATATCGAAACCATCGTGGATATACAGGGGGAAGCTGTGCGCGATGGGTGACACTTGCCTCATTGCTGTAATCGTCCTTGCATCTGTGAAAAACCTGATAAATATTGAGGAGCGGTGTATGTACAAAATACAACCGCTGACAGAAATCAATCAACTGTGGGACATTTTGAGGTTCGTTCAGGATCTGGATACCCACCACGTTGGTGATGTAACCGAGGGATTGCATTGCAAACGTTAGTATAGCGACAGTCTTGTCCATATTGGCAGGATTGCTGAACAGATTGGTTTTGCCGTCAGAAATACCAGAATGCGACTGGCCGTTTTGGCTGCCGACTGCGCCGTGAAGGTCTAGGAGAACACCGATACCAGACTGTGCTGCCATGTTGATTGCTCGAAGGACCCGATTCCAAGAGTTCTGGTAGACGTCCGCAAAAGGTGCAAACGGGGTATCGACACAATAGGAGGGGCCAAAAGTCCAATATCCAACAGGAAGGCGAACGGTGTTGATGCCTATGCTGGCAAGATAGTCAAAGTCGGACTGGTTGATGAAATTGTCCCAGTGACGTTCAAGGACAGCCCGGGCATTGTCAGTTGATCCCCAACCAGAAGCAACATCCAATTCTGCGGCTTGGGGCCCGGAAGCACAGGTAAACAGAGATGGAACCATCCAGTTTTCCTGAACGAACCTCATAGTCGTGGTTGAGATAATGGTAATTGTCATGAGCAAAAATCTCACCATGACCCGAGATTGACAGATTGTTGTTGGCGATAGCGATACACATTAGCCTGGGACTGATCAAACGGCGGGAATGTCTGATTCAGAATTGGAGGAGGGTCGTATGGGGCCACTGAGCATTTTGGGTCTTGAGAGGACAGAGAGTTCTGTGACGCAAATCGACCCCCAGCTGCGGGTGAATGAACGCTCACAAAGCCAGAGGGTGGCGATGGGACACCAAAATCGCGAGCAGGCGCAGACTCGGTGTTTGTAGTTAGACTCGAATTGGAAGCCGCAGCGTAGAGGCTCGGGGTTGGCTTGAAGGAACCTTGGGTGAGGCTTAGGGCCTGAATGAGCGCCGTGAACGCGGTAACGTTCGCAAGCATAGTGGGAGGGGCGGGTGTGCAAAACGGTCAGCCCTTTGGGAGCAGTGCTACCCAAAGTTCGAATGATGTTAATCGTGCCTTTTGAACAATGGATCCGGACTAAGATGTGCAGCATTGTGATCGAGCCTGGCAGCTGGTTTGCTATTCTGAACGCGACCTGGCAGCAGTGAGACCTAGTGAGACCTGCATGTCGCGCACACCGCCCTAGCAGTTCCGCGCATTTGTACTTGGACTGGCGCAAGAGTCAAGAACTCTGGACAAAACAACATTTCCTCGCCGTTGGAATGGAACGCACTAAAGAGTGAAACTATAAAGCTTAAAGAATGGAATCGTTTCGGAATGGGTCACGACGCGATATCACGTGCATCGGCTGGCTATGGTTGTACGCTTGATCGAAGTTAGAATAGCCAAACAATGATCGGGGATGTACTTGGTGTTCAGCCCTGTTCAGCCGCATTTGCGGTAGAGGACGAACCGATAAAATGGATCGTATGTGCTTATGCGCTGCCCAACACATCACGAGTCTGACGAAGAATATGGGAGAATGGAGGTCAATGAAGACAACCACCGTCATCCATGGGACACAGGACAAACAACGGAAATGCGGGTTCCGTTATGGTCCATTTGAACGGTTTCGACCATCATGATTGAAGACAGCCCCGCATCACAGCTCCAGACATCGAACTTGAACAGCAATCGACATGTGCCTGTGCCGTCCGTCGCATCAACCACTCGCATACGCGCCAATCTCACGTTCTGATTCACTGTCAGGGACCTACTGATAGCATACTGACTCAGTGTCTCTCCAGCCAACGGTGGCACGGCCGCCACATACAAAAAAGACCAGGTGACACTCAGGGCTATCCAGTCTGTGATCGTCTTCTAGAGCAACCATCAACGCCATGGCGGTTCCTGGTAAGCGCAAAAGTATCAAATGGTTTGGCGGCCCGACGACAGACACCATCAGACTCGGAGAGGGTGCAGTATATATTTCAACCAAATCCTCGAGCGCTCCCATTTATGAGCTTCATGCCATGTCAGACCCGAACTCTCTAATCCAAGCTCTCTATCAGACGCAGTCTCTCGTCTACCTCACAAGTAAGCATTGAATTAATCACTGCCTTGCGATGTACATGTCGTCAAATCCGACCCACTTACTCGTATGGTTTCTCTGCAGTGGCAACAGGAGCTGCAGTCACGTATGACCAAGGCAAGTGCATCGTATCCCCACGCTTCATCCCCACCCCTGACGTGGAGGATGACCCCTGAGCTCAGTACTCAACTTCTCACAAGAGGTAAGCGCCCATCTTTACCCTTCGTTCCGGTAGATCATGCTGAAAGTTCTTTGGTGTTGCATTCAACTTAGGTGGATCACATATGGGTATGCAAACGAGTGTCCCAGATCGATTTCTGGCCATGTACTCACCACCAGAGCTTACCGGTGTAGAATCGCCGGTGGGGCCCCACGACAGCACTTTACCTCGTGGTATGTGTATCCCTTCACCTCCTCGGGAACTCGGCCAACCTAAGTCGTTCAACCTTAACGGTACCTAAGGCCCGCTACTCTGGTTCAGTATTCGTGTTGTGAGTCTACCGTAACATACCGGCCCGTGCCGCGACTGTCGTAACTGATTCCAATGTGTGGTCGATAGTACAAATATAGCGTGTATGATAGCTCTTGAAGACAAGCCCTCGTTTCGCTGATCACCTACTACAGCAATCGTCCGTCTCAACTGGACACTCAAGGTTAGTTCCTTCTTGCCCTACTATCTCAGGAAACATATAACTGTTTGACATTCAATGAGCAGGGGTAAGCTTGACCAACATCTCTCCGTCCCACTGGCGACTCGGATCTGACGGTTGCGCTCGATGTAAAATATCCAGGTGTAAGTACAACCTTTTTTTATTATTCCCGCCTTGAACCCAGATCTTTGTGAATCCTCAAGTCAAAATCATATACATCATCGTTGGCTGGTCGCTCAACGTGTTCCTCACAGCTATGCAAGGTGCGTGTGGCTTGTAGTCGAGGTCATTGCTGACAAGTTGACCGCCCGCGGTCGTGGCCAGCAATCCTCCTCATGCGTGTCTTCGCCTTATGCGGCCGGTCGAAGACGGTCCTGATCTTTCTCTCGGCTTGCTTTGTTTGCCAGACAGTGGTGGTGGTGGCCCTCTCCGCAAAACAGTTCAATTTTTCATTTATTGGACACTCCAGTGCATTCAGAGTAATAATTTGATTCGTCTCTACCATGCTGATATCTAATCTTATAGTATTGTCGATGGGCCCTGCCATCGGGAGTGTCGGACAGGAAATTGACAAGGATATTTCTATATTCGGGTTCTTGCCAGCGGCTCAAGCGTGTGTCCAACTGGCGTTCGACACGGTATTGTTCGGATTTGCGCTGTCCGTGTTCTCAAGACACGCACTCGAAGCCAGGGCCTTGGGCGGAGGATGGTCGGTGAACCCCCTGGTAAAATTTCTGACCGCAGACCAAACACTTTACTTCTTGTGGTGCGCCTTTCGCCCGCCGCCTCTTGCCCCCTTGCGCTTGTTATCTGTGGCACCACCAGCTACGCGCTATGGCAAGCACTCAGCATCCCCGAAACGCTCCCCAGGTTCTCGCAGTCCGAGATGCTCGATGTCGTGAGCAACGTCCTCTTTGCACTCGTCGTCATTTTCGGGCCCCGCATGGTGATCCGGCTGCGCGCAGAGGAACTAAGGAGCAGAGAGGGCACTTTGCAGGAAGAGCCGAGCACGATACGGTTCGGCTCGGGCGATCCGTCGGCACTGTCGAGTGTGACTGGAGAGGAGGAGGGGGTGCTGGAGTCCGTGCTGGGAGACGATGGTCTGGAGATTCGAGGTGGGATGGGAGAGCGGGAGGTTTGCTAATGATGCGATATTTGGGGTCGCGCTGCCAGGGACATGATCGTCCTACTAGATAGTCCCTAGCTTGGTCCTTTTCTACTGCTCAACGAGTAGCTCATTAACCATAATCTTGGGTTTTCCGGAGTACAAACTACATGTCAATACAATGTCAATATGTCTGGAACGCCGGTATTCCTGCTACCCTTTAGGTACGGTGCCGGTGAAAAAGGGAGAACGACAAAAATAACTGCCCCAGTGAGGCTCGAACTCACGACCTTCCGATGTCTATCACATGATGTGATCGTAACAGTCGGACGCTGTAACCAACTCAGCCATGGGGCACATATTCCAGAATATATTATTGTCAACATAACAGAAACGGTCTCCCGGAAGTCGTTTTCAGACACTTACGCCTAGCTAGAGCTGGGCGCCGGTCACTTTGGCCGCACTGAAGACTACCCTGGGCCATGCTCCCACCCCTGATTATCTCGAGGCGTACTTTTATTTCATCACGACCACCAACTCCTTCCGGCCCAAAGCCACCCGCCGCCGCCTTGTTCAAGTGCAGCGAATTGCTTGGGTCAAAGGTCCTGACGTTCGTCTTTGCACCACAATCGGGCTCAGTTGTGTCACCTGGCCTCCATGATTGCGGGCGACTGAACACCGTCATAGCAATACTCAACAGTGTGATGGACGTGGTCGGGATGGGAGTGCGGAGATACGCGAGTGAATACCTCCGATCGCGTTGCCCCGGTCGCTTGCAGGGTGAAGGATCTCGTGTTGATCGTGTCGGGAACAAGGTTCGTCGCGACGGCATTACTGACATTGAATGTAGCAGCCGTATTGTTGATCTTCAGGCGACATTGATTATCCCTGGTGCACCGAGCTCCCACCGTCGTAATGAGGGGTATCATTTCACAAACTGTCGGGAGGATGAATTCGTATCCTCGTCTTCACATATCTGGGTGCGCCCGGCAATAAGCCAGTGTTTGGTAGGGGGTATCCCAAGCCATCCCAGATTGTTATAAGATTTTGTGAACCCGTCCATGGGAATTTTCAAGGCGCGTCGAAGGGTACGCTTGTAACTGTTGAGAGGAGAGTGTCCGACAATTGGCGCAGCGTCGCATGTATCAGCTGTACCCAGTGGGATGCCAGCTAAGTAGTCAAGTCTCGCTGCCCTAAGACAAAGGTGGGATGATCATATGGCAGAATTGTCAGTATCCGGCATCATAATGTTGTGGATTATGCGCATGTCTATGTGTTTCGACGACCTGGCTCGAAAAATCAGTGAGTCAGTAGGAAAGAGCTATAACTTGAAACCTTTGGCGCTCAATTAGCGCTGTGGTGGCGGCTTGTGACTGAGGTTCCGTGAGACCAAGAATTTCCGAATTTTCTCATTCGCCCAGCTCGTCCATTCGACGGTCGACCGTCGCAGTCATTGGATGCGATCCCAGACACTAATCCGAAGATCGCGGTCAGTGTTCAGGCAGGCCTCAGCAAGATCTCCAACTGCTGCTGTATCTACGTTTCCGCGACTGAGTCGTGTCTCCCGCTCGGAACAGGCTCCGTCTCGACCTCCTTCCCGAGTCTACAAGCGTCTCGTGTCATCAACTCCTGCCGCAGACAACCAGGAACCTCCAGTTGCTGACGGTGAACCATCTCCGAGCGACCCACCTGGCACTGAACCTGAAAAACCGGCTAGACGCACCAGAGCATCCGCCAGTGCGCCTCCACCAAAGGATTCCGAGGAACGTCCGCAGCTTCCAAGCGACTTGAACGTTCTCTGGCTCCCGGAAGATGATGCACCAGAAACTGACTTTCTCCATGACCACTCACTGCCCCCACCCGAACTATTTGACGAGGCTCTTACTAACCTCCACATTACCCTCCACCCACAAACCCAGCATCGAGCAGCTTACCAATCACCAGCAGGTCCTTTGCTAGAACCTACACTTGCGCTCTATTGTCCCCTAGAAGGTGGCGACTATATCCTTGATGGGACGGTTAAAGAACTTGCTCGGAGGACCGGGTCTGAGGTCATCGTGATAGACGCGGTACAGCTTGCTGCTGGTGAATGTGGTCATTTTGGCAGAGGTACCACTTGTCAATTTTCTGTCATTTTGGTCATTCTGATCACCATTATATAGCCGCCAACTCTCTACAGCTGCCTCGTAACCCCCTTCACTTTTCACCCCCTTCTCCAGCGCAACGTGGGCCTGCAAAGTCGTTTCCTATGGAGGATGACGACGACGATATGATGCCATCGATGTCCATGCCGTCGCAGATGACTCTTCATGTCTTGACACCTGCTTCAAGCCGACGTGTAATTGCTACACCAAGTAGTAGCAGTACTCCAAGTAGAATCAAAGCGTTTTTTGATGCGCTGGTCAACTTCCCCTCGCCTGCTTCAGATTCTACAGGCAAGACTACCCCGCGGCGCCCACGCCTAATTTATATTCGTGATTTCCCTACCCTTGCGTCCACCTCGTCAACATGGTACCCTCATCTGTTGTCGGCTGTTCGCCAGCGACGGACCGGCCCCATCCCTCGACCCACCTCTCCCGTGAACAACCCCATGACAATCGTATTCGGTATGACACCTCCCATCGTGCCACCTTCCGCGACATCTCCCTCAGGGTTCGGTAATCAGGGTCTGGTGAATTTGTTGATGAGAAGAAAACCCCCATCATCAGGAATCGCTTCAACTCCAAGAGCAGGGTCACTCGACTGGGGCGAAGATGAGGCCGCGGGGAGAGCAAGAGAGAAGCGTCTCAAGGACCGCCTACGTAAATGGGAGAAAGGCGATGCAGCACTACTGGAGGACCTGCCCACACTCTCTACCAAAGGCGATGAAGCAGACGGAAGCAACGGGCAGAGACCAGGTATCGTTGTCCTCGGTGGGCCTGGTGCGGTACCCGGCTTCCCACCTGGTTTGGAATCCATGCTCGGAGGTCCAGAAAGTCGCAGCGCTCCTGATGCGGAAGCTACTGCCTCCCCATTTTTCCGTGCTGCGGTGCTAGTGCCCAACGTTCGATCGTTGGTACGTGAGAGCGCTTGTCGAACAAGCAGGCGCCGGGAAATCAACGAGCTCACGATGCGCATGGGCGTCGGTGCTGTAGGAGGAGTCTTGGAGAAGCTAGAGAATCATGAGGGCTCTTCTGGGAGAGGGGAGGAAACGTCACCCACCGATGGTAGCCGCCCAGCTGGAGAAAAGGACGCTGATATGTGGCATGAATGGAGCAACCGTGTGGAGGTTTGGTCTAGCGTGAAGCAGATTGCTGATCGCGCAGTCGGAAGCGTTGTATCTGCTGCCCAACCCCACCGAGAGCCATCCAGTCTCGAACCAACGGTCGTTCCATGGTCAGCTATACACCGTGCGTGGTCAGCCAAGCGGTCTTCGCGAGACCTTCGGAAGTCATGGGTGAAGGAGTCGACTACGAAAATCTCGCGCGAAAAGGATGTCGAGGAAGAGCACGACGAGGATGCAGAGGAGGGAGATTCAACAACTGTCGATGAGACCATCGAGAGCATCAAACAAGATCCTGACCTCGATCAACACGAACAACGGCTTTTGTCTTGTATCGTGGATACCAGTAAGCTCCACGGTTGGTTCTTGGCGAAAGGTGCTGACCCGTGGTTGTAGCGTCCCTGTCGACTACTTTCAGTCAGGTTCATCTTCCTTCCCATACCATAGATTCTGTACGGACAATCGTGTCGCTGCCTTTGCTTCATCCCGCCGCCTTCCAGCAGGGTATCCTCAAGGAACATGGTATGACTGGCTGCCTTCTGTTCGGTCCTCCAGGAACTGGCAAAACGTTGGTCGTCCGCGCACTTGCTAAAGAAGCAGGCTGTCGCATGATGATGGTATCTCCCTCCGATGTCATGGATATGGTGCGTTTCCCAACCTTTGAAGCGATTGACTCATTCCCAATCCATTATCACAGTACGTCGGAGAAGGCGAGAAGCTTGTTAAAGCTGTCTTCTCTCTCGCCCGCCGTCTGTCGCCCTGCGTCGTCTTCCTCGACGAAATTGACGCACTCTTCGGAGCTCGTATGTCCGCGCGCGAAAGTGGGGGCGCTTTTGCCCACCGAGGGGTGATCACGGAGTTTATGCAGGAAATGGATGGTCTGAAAACATCGAAGGATGACCGAGTCATAGTGATAGGAGCCACCAACCGACCCTTTGATCTTGATGATGCTGTCCTCCGCCGCCTTCCTCGCCGGCTCTTGGTCGACCTGCCCGGAGAGAAGGAGCGCGAAGGTTGGTTCTTATGTTTACCTTGCTGCTTTGGTCTAATCCCCGGTTTGTTACAGAAATTCTCAAGATTTTGCTACGTGATGAAAACTTATCCTCTGACATGGACCTCAAGGCTTTGGCGAAACAGACGGAGAGCTTCTCAGGCTCTGATCTCAAACGTCGGTGCATTTCATGCCTTGGTGTTCTTATACTGAATTACAAATGTACAGATCTCTGTGTTTCCGCCGCTCTTGATGCTGTGAAAGAAGATGTGACCGTTCCTTGGAGCGCGCCGAGTACCTCTCCCTCGGCAGATGACCAACCTACGCCTAATAACCCGACTCCTGAAGCCGAAACCCCTGCTGAAGTAGCGACCCAAGACACATCTCCAGAGGTCACCTCGGAGGACTCTTCCCAGAAGGCTGAAGAGCCTACACCTGGGATGTCTCTACGCACCATCTTCCCTCGACATTTTACAAAGGCATTGAAAGAGATCACACCTTCCTCCTCAGAGTCCCTCGGGAGTCTTTCTGACCTGAGGAAATGGAACGACGAGTTTGGAGAAGGACGACGGGACAAGCGGAGGCAACAGGTTTGGGGCAAGGGCAAGTTCGGATTCATTGACAAGTCACCAGCCAGCGCAGAGGGACGAGTTACGACCGGTCACGTTTCCAACGACACTGCGAGTACATCACAATAGACCAATAGCACTTGAATAGCACGCTACTAATAGATGTACAAGCTTTAGAATATATGCATCGACGACCGTGAGCTGTCTGTGACTTGACTACCTCATCGCGCACGGCCTGACCGACGTTTCCCGTTTGCTTGCGATTTCCGAGGCGCCTCGTCTTCCTCGTCCTCGTCCATGCTGGCCTCTGCTGCCTTCTTCCCGCGACGCGGTCTCGACTGTGTTGCGGCTGGCTGTGAGGGCTCGTCTTCGTCCATCTGGTCCGGCTCTTCCTCGTCTTCATCACTGGCTTCTGCCGTGCTCTTTCTGCGAACGCGCCTTCCCTCGTCCTGACCATCTTTAACTGCGCCTTCCCCGACAGCCACAAGGTTTTTAGATTCGGCTGGCCAATCCTGACCGCATGTCGGGCACTTTG